GAATGAATAAAGCCAGTCTGAGTTCTTATTGAAAAAGCTGCCATTGCCGCCATAAAATTTCTCACAATTGACATCACATGATTTAAACTGAACTACATGACGTTTCTTCAACCTTTATAAGTATGGTTAGCATTGTATTTATGGAATTTTGTGCTTGTTTACATATGTTTCTGAAAATATTTTTATTATCCTTTCTAATTTTCTTGGTTATATGCTAGTCTCTGGAATACATGTATATTTTAAAATATTTGTTTATTTTTTTTTTAATTTTTTTCAACGTTTTTTTTTATTTATTTTTGGGACAGAGAGAGACAGAGCATGAACGGGGGAGGGGCAGAGAGAGAGGGAGACACAGAATCGGAAACAGGCTCCAGGCTCTGAGCCATCAGCCCAGAGCCTGACGCGGGGCTCGAACCCACGGACGGCGAGATCGTGACCTGGCTGAAGTCGGACGCTTAACCGACTGCGCCACCCAGGCGCCCCTAAAATGTTTTTAAATAATTTTTAAATGAATGCAATTGTATTTCTGGGTTTTTTACTATCAATTTTCTTATTAAATGATTTTAACTTGTATAACGCAAAGGTGGCACTCATACATCTCCTGCCCAGCTATGATTGCTAGAATTAGAAATGATACCTTTCTGTTGTTTCCATCAGAATTTATTCAGTGGAATAAATATTATTCTTCGGGTTGGGACTGTGGAATTTCACAGGGACTAGAACAATGATTCTGGGTAAGAGAACAGGCTTGTGAAAGAGCTGCTGTGTAAAAACATTGAGGGGGATAAGGAACAAGGATTCTTGTATTTTGTAGCTTTCTGTTAAATGTTTGCCCTGTTTGTCCACATTATGCAGTTTTATTTCCAGAGCCCAGATAGGAAAAGGAGCTCATCACCAGGAAGCAGATGGGGCAGCAGAAGCTGCTGGAGGCTGTGAATATGCCTCGGAGAGTTCAGCATGCAGCACAGTGGGAGTCACTGCAGACACCTGGGCTGAGCAGGTGCCTGCAGGTCATTTCTGGTCACAGAGTCCACACTACCACCACCACTGTCAACAACAACGACAAGAGTAAACCCCCAAACCAGGTTGAAGGAGAGCTGCTGCCTCCCTGTTTTCCAGTGTGCTTCACGGAGAATCCACCAAAACAATATCATTGTAAAAAAATCCCAACACAACTAAGCAGCAAAAATTCTTGAAAATTCTCTGTGGATACTATTTGGCAAGTAGACAAGATGATTTAAGTACATAAAAAAAAAATACACAAAAAACAGGTGCTTTACGGATGTTTTTCAGCAACTTTTTGTTAGCATTCCCTAACCTTATCTGTGATAGATTTAATATCTCCTACAAACCTCTAACAATTAACATTTCAAAAGTATTCACCAACTAATCCTAGCTGAATACTTTTTTCGGTCACATCCTGGTTCTCCATGATTTCATGATTTCTTGGATTTGACCCCAACTCTAATTTTGGAATGAGGTCATCTATAGTGAGGGGGAAGGGCTTTAGCCAAAGGCAAGGGGGATCTAAGGCTCTACCCCACTAAAACATACGACTTCAAATTGTGTATATTCATAGACAATGATTTACTCCCATGATGTGCTCCTCTGTGTTGGAGGGCAAAAGGACAGGAGGTCACACTTTCTCTGCTTTTAGCACTGACACATGATACTTGCTTTTATAAACTGGGGATGATTTTTTTTTTCAACGTTTATTTATTTTTGGGACAGAGAGAGACAGAGCATGAACGGGGGAGGGGCAGAGAGAGAGGGAGACAGAATCGGAAACAGGCTCCAGGCTCTGAGCCATCAGCCCAGAGCCCGACGCGGGGCTCGAACTCACGGACCGTGAGATCTTGACCTGGCTGAAGTCGGACGCTTAACCGACTGCGCCACCCAAGCGCCCCGGGGATGATTTTTTTTAAAAAAAAGAAATACAAATAAACAGCATAGAAGGTTCATTTCATACACTTAAAAAAATTGTGGGTTTCTTGTTCAGACTATATCTACACACACAGAAAAGTCTCACATAATATGGAATCCTGGGGAGTAACACACCTCAAGCTTAAATTTTATGTCAAAAGTAACTTTTTTCTTTATAAGTCATTTTTATTTTAAATATATAGTCATAAGCAGAATTTCTTGAAAGTCTGGTGGATTTTATTTTTACCCTTGACCCCATAGTTCAGGTCTTCAAATTGCTATACACGTAGTTATGATATAATATGAATAAATTGAAATAATTAAATTAGTTCAAAGTTTTCTAAGCAAACTGAGCATAGAGAAAAATAGATGAGTCTATCTTCTTTTTTAATATCAGTTTGACTGACCGTCATATCCAGTGATGGTGAGTAAAGCCAGACTTGTTAGAAAGACTCAGGTCATTCACCACCAGGGAGCAGAGCTCAATGGCCTTATTATGTAATAGGCTTACAACACTTTGAGGACTTCCTGCAGTCCTAAGGCTAACAGCTTCTAAACTGGGATTTATGCCCATACTTCCTGCCACACTTTCCTCTATGCTCCAGCCATACGGACTCCAAATTCTTTGAATGGCCATGCTCTTTCCTGTGTATTAGATAACCTACCAGGAACCTTCTATACCAATTCCTCTCCATCTTTTCATCTGACTAATGTCCACACATCCTTTGGGTCTCAGCTCAGACAACTTTCTTAGTCATCCTTAATCACTTTCTCCCCACCCACACTTATATACCTACGTACACACTTGACTGAGTTAAATCCCCAAACTCTTCTCCTCATAGTACTGGTTGCTTTTCCTTCCTTACCTTTATAGTGTTTGTAATTCTTGTTTAATGTTTGTTTCCCCCACAAGTCTGTAACACTAGGGGCAGAGGATAGTGTGTCTTATTCTCAATTGAATCTTGAGCATAGGAGAGCATCTAGGTAAATGCAGAAGGAAGGAAGGAAGAGAGGGAGGGAGGGAGGAAATGAGAGGTGGAGGGGAAAGGGAAAGGAAAGATCTGTTCAAAATTGTAAAGTATCTATCCTAATGGATTTAGAAAAAGCATGTAGACGTTCTCTGGTCTGGCTGGTTAGACTACACTATACTTCAAGGTCTCTTTAGCTCTGGACCATGTTAAGTCAGCCATACCTTCTACAACCCTTGGTCTATTGAAAATACAGCTCCTGTGTGGTTCACTGGGAAGATTCTGAAATAGAACTGCACCAATGAACTCAGCTTAGTGGAGGACACATTTATCCCAACTGATCTCAGGTAACAAGGGGTAAGCGATGGTCAGTCTTTTATATTTGGCCCGGATCCCTGCTCTGTGAGAAGCAAGTGATAAAACACTTTCTCTGTCAGAGACCGAACAGTAAGTTATGTTCCAGAAACTGCAGGGAGCGACTCCGTGGGTGTAAATAAATCCACCTCTTGACCAAGGGAGAAAATTAACATTCTCTTTAGTTTGACTCAGCTTTAGACAAATTTCTTCCTGACTATGGGCCCCTTGACTTCCCTTTCCTTCGAGCATTTAATTTAAAAAATGCTGTTAGGAACACCTGGGTGGCTCAGTCAGGTGAACATCGAGCTCTTGATTTCAGCTCAGGTCATGATCCCAGGGTCATGGGATGGAGCCCTGTGTCTTGGGCTCTGCACTGAGCATGGAGCCTGCTCAGGATTCTCTCTCTCTCTCTTTCTCTCTCTCTCTCTCTCCCTCCCTGCCCATGCATGTGTTCTCTCTCTCCCTCTCTAAAGAAAAAATAAAACAAATAAAAATCAGCATTATAAATTCTTTGTCTCTTGGAGGTGTACATTTTCTCCTACACTCTTGCCAGTTTTACAGCAGAGAAATTTCTTTCTCAGGTACCTGGAAGCCATCCTTTGAAATGTAATCATCAAGAGTGATAGCAGACCTCTGTTTCCCAGTTTCTGTGGAAAGGTGGAAACCTAACTTAGATAAATGACAATTATAAAACACAGATGGCTAATCACATTGACCAAGCGCCTCTCAATGTCCTCCAGCACTTGCTCACTAGCTTCTCCCAGCACTTAAATCTCCCCAACTTTTGTTTCAGCAGAGGGGAGTTCAGTGTCTTTGGCATATTGAAATATACTTGAATAAAGTCTTGTTTGCCTGTTTAACTCTATCCAGTGTAATTTTTTTTGACACCTGCTTGGGAAGGAATCAGAGCCACTCACATGAGGTTTGGCCTGGTTCACGTGCATACTTGAATTAAATTGGAGCTACATCACTCATAACCAATGTGAATGTTCTAGAAGGTGATCAAATTAAAATAAAATTTGAACCCACTGGATAAAACATCAGTTAACTTCCATTTAGTGAGCAGGAGGATTAGTTTCATTTTGGGGAGTGGGATTGTTTTCTTTGAATGCTGCTGTTTTGAAAAAACATTGAAGAGGAAGCATCTGATCACTTCTAGGCAATGTAAGTTTGAACAACGTCCAGGAGCCAAATCTGTGGTTGTCATGTTTCTGAGCTAAATCAATTTTCTGCCCTATAAATGCAGCTCATATAATGGTCTTGGTTGAAACCTTGAAAGCTTGCTGAGCTCTTATTGTGAAGGCCCTGAGTGCCTGGGTTTTATTTTATTCTGATTTGGACAGCAATTGATGGTTTTGTGCCTAAAGAGCACTGGGTTGGGAGCCAGACTGCCTGGATCCATATCCTGGCTCCACTGGGACTTCAGTTAGTTGCTGAACGTCTTCTGACTCAGTAAATGTGAATAGTAGAGAATCTGAAGACTAGTAAATGCTCAATAAATGTTAGTTCTTGCCACTGCTACTATTATTATCATCATCACTTTCACTACTGTGAAAAACAAACAAGACTTTATTATTTCAGAATTTACTACTCTCCACCAAAAAAAAAAAAAAAATCCATTGATGGGTAGCAATTCTGGCTTAAAATAGACTGTCAGCCTTGCTGAATTGCCTTACTCACGTGTAACGCTGAGCTCTATTTGTGAGACCTTTGTCTTTCTCTCTCCCTACCCCAATCCCTGAATTTTTTTAGTGATGGATGGGCAGACAGAGATGAAGTCATTGAAGGTTATGAGGTGGAAGCCAACGGGGGAATCACAATAAAGCTGCAATCTCCAGAGGTCAGGTCATTTGATGATTATTTCCTGAAGCTGAGGCTGGACACTAATACGAGGAATCCCTGGTTCCCTGAGTTCTGGCAACATCGGTTCCAGTGCCGCCTACCAGGACACATTCTGGAAAATCCCAACTTTAAAAGAATCTGCACAGGTAATACGTGTTCACAAAATACTGACTCAGAAGTTACAACTCTATCTCCATTGCAACTTGTTGAATGAGAGTAGAAGGTGTCAAGGCTGGAGTTCCAAAGACTAAATTACCATCTTAATTTATAAAATAGCTAGAATGAGGAGAGTGTGTGTATTACCCTGAGGATTCATGTTTCTATGTTCTGGAAAGGCAACTTTGGTCTCTGGTGGAACAGGTTGTAAGAAGAGATAATGTAAGTCAAGGAAAAGCAAACTGAGAATTCAGGTACCTACTATTCAAGCCAGAGGGAAGAGGTTTTATTGCAAGCATATTTAGGAAATGTTAACCACAGACATAAGTAAGCAGCACTGGTTTGACCCCTTTTTCTTCTTTATGACTCGCTTCAATATACAGGTCTGGAGAAGGTGAGATAATGACATCCAGGGCCACACCACGAACATATATGTATGTGTATGTGGACGTAGGTGGCCAGAAACTCTGCACTCTCATTTGCAAATAGGAGTGACATTTCCCAGTGGGACAGATAATTCCCATGCACTGCTCACTGAAGGCATGCCAGAAAAGGGCAGCATATTGTTTCAGGTCCTCAGGGCTTGGTGAACTCCACTGGATGTCCTTTCCTGCCCTCCCCCCTACCCGCACCCCCCCACCCCAGGAACTACTGTACTTAACATGACTAACTTACCATACTTCTTAACAGATTTCTTAACACAGTAATTTCCATGAGTGCTATCATTACTGCATAGAGACATTGATGTCCCCTGTCTTTTTTCAGTGTTGCTTAATGTGGCAAAAATAGATCACCTTTGGTATACCACAGTGCCATTCAAAGCCACTTGTCTATACTGGGTTGATACCACAGCATGATGGACAGGCATTAAAGGTGGTATTGCCAGGACTGAGATGGGAAAGACTACAGGAAAAGCGAGAAGGATCAGGAACTAGATTTTGGATGGGTTAAGTTTGAGATGGCTATTAGTGGATTGCAACTATATATGTCACTTGGTCATTGTGTTCTATTAGTAAAATTTAGATTACTACTTGGATGTCTTTACATAAGGATTTCCAGGAAAGTATCTTGTGACGTAAGCTTTCAAAACAAAAGTTAGAATTCTGCAGCCATGTACGTTTTAAAAACCATTTTGGGTTTTCAATTGTCATAGTGCATGCAAATGTCAAGGTTAAAGTTTGAACTTGGTTAATGTTCATACTAGAAAATTTAAAAATTTCACATTCATGAACTGTTCTTATATTTTGCTTTGCTCAGAGCTATTTTTAAGAGCTTCTTATGTGATTACAACCTTTTATAAACATGTTTATGTTTGCATTTCATTCTGGAGTCAAGCTTAGGAAATATTTCCCTTTGTTCTTAGTTCTAAGAAAGATCAAAGGCTTATTTAACTTTTCTATTTGGAACTAATTCATGAACTTTATTGATCGTTTCTGCTACGGGAATCCTAGAATTTTATCGTTAATTTTTCTTTGGCAGTGTTTATGTTATCTGTGTGTGTATGCATTCATGTATATTTACTTTGCTCTTCAGTTTTAATGTCTGCATTTCTATGAAATTGGCTTCAATGTTATTGATGAACAACTAAACTTTTACTTCACGTATCATTCTTATCTAGTTGAGATCCTTGAATAGCAAGTGAATTGCATAGTCTTCTAATGAATATGCAGACACATTTATGAAAATTAATGTGCAGAAGTGAAATGAACCCTTCCATTCTATTGATAGCTACTCTTTCTATCACTTATTTTTACCTCTTCTAATTGGGTCATTTCAATGTTTTGGAAAGTTTTGATATTGCAGTTCATTTCCATAGAAACCTTTATTGAGCTTAATCTCAGATGTCACTATTTAAATAAAGAGTTTACATGCACTAGATTTTCAGTTTGAATATTAAGGGTCCTGAGCCCAGGCTGAATAATTTGCAAATCACTGTGGCTAATTAAAAAGTACTTCATGCACAGTCTACATCACTGCTTAATTAGTTGCGAATATCAAGGGATTGGAGAAAGTGTTGGAAAGGTACTAACCAAAACATCAAAGCCTGACTTCTAAAAAAATTAATCATTGTGAGGACAGTGGAGAGAATAGGTATAAAGCAAATCAAAGTCACTCTCTTCCAGTAAATGTCTTAACTGTTTATAGCATTTTTTTGCAGTGGCATAGGGCTTTATCCTTCCTGATGAGAATTGTGAAAATGATTCCATGGAAACTGCGAGAGCATTTGGAAGCGTAACCAACTGGAGCCAACACTGGTTCTGTTAATAATCTGCCACAAAACTTGAAGGACCTCATTTAATCTCTGAGTCAATTTTTGCAACTATAGCATGATAACACTTTCTACTTTACACAGGTGTGAGAATCAAATGAAGTAACACAAGTGAGATACTTCGCAAATCCTTACATAAGTGTAAAGTGTTGTTGTTAATATCGTGTCTTACAAGAAGGAAAATAAGATGTAGCGTGGATTACCTTGTTAAATATTATAGTTTTTGAAATTACAAATTTAGCATAACTATATGCCAAGATGTGGCAACTAGAAAAACAAGCACAGAACCCTTAATCAACCACCCTTATACAGTGCCAAAATGGATATTTTATTTTTCTCCTATCTAGGCTTTCACAATTTTTTTCTGATTATCAAAGTAATATGCAGTACTAAGTTTATCATATACAAATTGGAAATATAGAAAAACGTAAGAAAGATGAAAAGCATCAATAATTTTCTTTTATATAACACTATTAATTACTATTAATTTTTTGATGTATTTCTAGCAAATATACTGTTAAATTTTTGGTATATTTTTATCTATATATACTTATAAATCATATAGCTAATATTTTTTATATTGCTTTTAGAATGAATACTGCCTTTTCTTTACATTTATGAATTTCTTTGTCACTGATTTCTTTCACTCATTTTTTTTTCCATTTTTTAAAATTTTATTTGAGAGAGAGAGAGAGAGGGTTCAAGCAGGGGAGAGGGGCAGAGGGAGAAAGAGAGAGAATCCCAGGCAGGCTCCATACTCAGTGCAAAGCCCAGCACATGGGTTCAATCTCACAACCCTGGGATCATGACCTTACCTGAAATCAAGAGTTGGGTGCTCAACCGACTGAGCCACACAGGAGCCCCAATTTCTTTTATTCTTAATTGCTATATAACATTGTGCAGACATATAAACTCTAATTTATTTGACCATCTCATTCTTCTGACACATCTAGGCTGTTTTCAGTTCTTTATGAGTTAAAAAAGCTGCAGAGAGGTATTAAAAAATTCTTCTCCCTAGTCCTCACCTTACTCTTTTCTCATTTTGGATAATTTTCTTAAAATATATTTCCAGAAGTTGAAATCCTCAAATGATATGAATACTTCTAAGAAAATAAGAGGTTCCAAAAGGCAACTCCCACCAGCACCACTTGCAATTCTATGGACTTTTTTCATTTTCTTTTGCATAGTTATAATCATAGTGTGCCTATAATACTGTATCTTTTTTTCAGTTAAGATTCTACTTTACTTTTGATGTTGTTGCATAATCTTTATAATGACCATTTTAATAGCTCCATAATATTCTACCCAATGAAAATATTATAATTACTTAGTCATTCTTATATGACTGGACATTTAGGTTGCTTCCAATTGTTTTTCTTACAAAACAAAACAAAACAAAACAAAACAAACCAGTGAATATGGTACAGAGTTTTCATGATTGTTGTTGTTACTACTTTTGGATTGTTCCCTCACTATAGATTCCTAAATATATAATTATATTTAGAATATGACAATATTTGGGTTCCTTAAGTACATGTCTTACCATTGTCTTGAAATATGGCAATATCAAGATTTGCTGTGGTTAGCAGTATATCAACTGAATGAGTTCACTTTGTCCTCACTGACCTTTTTCACAATCCAATGAATTTATGGCCATAATTCTTTACTTTCTGTCCTTATTCTTTATAGCAACTGGGAACAGGAGGACATAATGCTTTTTAAAGCTAGTATATCTTTCCTTGTAGTTGGCTATTATTGAAAACATAATGAAAGTATTTGGATGGTATCTGTAATACTCATCAACAGTTCAGGACTATTAATATAATGATAGATAGTCTGATGTGACAAAATTTCAAGACTTCCAAGCATGAGTACTCTTTTTTTTTAATTGAGATATAATTGACATATAAAATTAGTTTCTAGTGTACAACACAATATTTGTTATCTGTATATGTAGTAAAACCATTACTCTAGCATCCTTTATCATCCATTATCACTATATATATCACATTTTCTTTATCCATTCATCCATTGAAGGATACTTAGATTGCTTCCATGTCTTGGCTATTATAAATAGCTTCAATGAACATAGGGGTGAATACATTTTTTCAAGATAGTGTGTTTGTTTCCTTGAGATAAACACCCAGAAGTGGAATTGATGCATCATATGATAGTTGTATTAACTTTCTGAGCAACCTCCAGGCTGTTTTCCAGAGTGGCTGCACCAATTTCCATTCCCACAAACAGTACGTAAGGGTCCCCTTTACTTCACATCCTCAGCAGCATTTGTTATTCTTTGTCTTTTTGATAATAGCCATTCTAACAGGTGTAAAGTGATATCTCATTGTAGTTTTGATTTGTATATCCCTGATGGTTAGAGACGTTGAGCACCTTTTCACGTACCTATTGTCCATCTGTATGTCTTCTTTCAAAAAATGTCTGTTCAGATCCCCTGCCCCTTTTTTCATCATTTTTTTTTTTGCTATTGAGTTGTATGAGTTCTTTATTCATTTTAGATATTAACCTCTTATCAGATATGAAACTTGCAAATATTTTCTCTTTTTCAGAGATTGGCTTTTCATTATGTTAATTGTTTCCTTTGCTGTACAAAAGCTTTTTGGTTTGATGTAGTCCCACTTATTTATGTTTGCTTTTGGTATCAAAATCCAAAATATCATTATTACCAAGACTTTCTTTTAGCAGTTTTATGGTTTCGGGTCT